AATATTTATTTGAATTCCAACTGCTGGATACTACACAGTATACAAGTCCATGTTGAATGTTAAAGTACTGTCGGAAATAAAAAAGCACTGTTTTTTAGGCTGTTACTCTGTATCCCTAAAATTTACACAATTGCAAATAGCATATGTCGAAATAACCCACATCGGCCTAACTGAGTACAGTAGGATGCGTGATAGGATATCCAGAAAAGCATGTTTACTCGTAAAATCAGGCAAAACTTAGAAAAAATACGAAAAGCTGCTGAAAACAATAGATCAGACTATAGATGGCAATTAGGATGCTCAGCCAGGTAAGACTACGGACCGTCGACTCACCTGGCTTGAAATGCATGTGCTGCCTGCAGGCACAAGGGGTCATCTCATATATTTTATGCTTTTTCATGTGCGTTGTATATGTCTCATCTATTGGTTAACATCTTACGTGTCTTTGTGTCATAAAGTTTATGTTGAGATATGTAAAAGAGTATGATACCCATACAAAAGCTTAAATTAGCCATCATATTAAATGTCTCAAAATGTATAGGTGACATGACCACTTGAAGATCGACAGGACTGGACATTATTTGTAAATTGTTATGACATGCCGTTTACTTCCCCAGTTTAATTCACCTAAAGGATTATCTTATCTCAGCTGATATCTGTATCCCCCAGCCCGACCCCAACCATTGTCTGCGACACCCGTCCTGGTTTTGCGTTTGAGACGACCCCTCCTACCTGTTTCTTTTTGTAGTGATAGTGAGACTCCATGGTAGCTACATCCTTAATAGTTTCAGTCTTAAAGTTATTATTTTTCACGTCAGCTATCGCTTATAATGAAACTAATTTTTATTGCAAAACGGACATTTAAAAAGTTTCCTTTGTAATACAGTATCATTGCACACTAATTTGCATAAAGCCATGGTCTGTTCCAAATAAGTCGCTTTCGACTTAGAACAAAACTGCATTGCTCATTTCTACACTAATCTCTCCTCAGTAAAGTCCTTTCTCTACGGTTCCCATCTCTCCACCTCTGAGACTGTAGTTAGGCCGAACTTAGTTTAACAGATATTTCACATTTTCACATGTTAACAACATAAATTGTAGATATAAATGCGAAAAAACTTTTTTTTTCAATTTCCGACTGTACTTTAGTCTATAAATTCTATCACTGTTGAACAATGAGTACCTTAAATCACTTGTAACTGCTAAATGTGCTAAAACATGCTAGGTGAAACATAACACTTGTAGGTGCATCTAGGATGGCCACCATATTTCAATGCAGGACCTTGGGGGCTGTCCAAGGAGCCAGGCTAGGATCGAGCCCCCCTGTGACTGGGTGTAAAAACCTTGGAGTCAAGTTTGTGTGCAGACTCTTTCAGTGTTGTCACAACCCTGTGCACTTAAAAGAACCCACGAATCCATTGGTATATGACCAGATGGTGGCCACATGAATACGTGCAAACACTTAGTTGCTGGTACAGCAACATGCAGTAAAAAAAAGTCCCTGTCCACCCAGCTCACTCAATAGTGAATGGGTACCTCGTAAGGATGGGAAAGCCGCAATAACTCGGTGCGCCTTGTGACTGCAAGAGTTGTAGGCTCCCCAGGGAGTTGAGATTGATAATATGATGTGCTGTTGAGATTGACATCCAATGATCGAGGGGAAAAATACTAGTGCCTTGAGCATGTACTAGTTGCGTGGATATGTGCGCTATATAAATATCCTCCAACCTTGCTCACGAGCGCTATTTCAATCACATTACTTGTGCTGTAACACACATTTCAAGCTTTAGACAGCTAGCAACAGTTTGCATAAAAACATATGTCAGTTTTCACCGTGTGTGAATTGGCTTATCAATCAGTTACTTCCTGGTTACAGTACTTGTCCAGTCTCCCTCCATCACAGGGACAGATCATATTATATTTATGTGTAATAATAATAATAAATAATATGTGTATTTATAATGCGCTGAATTCCACACATAAGGCATGCTCAAAGCGCTACATATTTACAAATATTTACAAAGCAAAGGTTATGCTAGAACGAGGCTGAAATTTTTGGAAAGTTAAGTTACAGATCGTAATATTTTCTGAAAAGATGGGTTTTCAGGGAACTTTTAAATGAGTCAATGGAGGGAGACATTTTGAGTTCAGTCGGGAGTTGATTCCACAACTGTGGAGCACCATAGCTGAAGGAGCGAAACACGAATGCCCGGAGTTTCTGTCTGGGAATAGTGAGAAGGTGTCTATCTGCCGATCTTAACATTCTGGAAGGATTGTGCTTGGTGACTAGCTCAACAAGGTACTCTGGAGCCGTAAGATGATAACACTGGTAGGCAAGACTCAGGACCTTGAATTCAATTCTGGCTCTGATTGGTAGCCAGTGAAGAGACTTAAGAACAGGCGTTATGTGGATCCTAGAGGGAACTTTGCTGACAAGTCGAGCTGCAGAGTTTTGTACTTTCTGGAGTTTTGATAGAAGTTTTTCGGAAAGTTCGTAGAAGATGCTATTACAGTAGTCAATCTTTGTTTGAGACAGTGTATTGAGTATAATAAGTAAGGTTTGCAAATAATTCCATAGGTGGTGGCATGGGACAAGTGAATATTCAATTCGGGCAAGGAAGAATTGCTGTCATTACTTGTCTATGAGCAATGGGATAATTTGGGGGTTTACTAGTCTGTGCTGAAATTGACATTTTAGTCACGTTATTACACTGTCCGGATGTGTGGGGTTTTCATTGTAGCCATCTAACTTGATGTTTTTAATCTATGTCATAGCTTTTATTCAACTTTGAATCTGTTTAAACTATGTGTGGAACAGATCAGTACATGACCATTATTTTCAATTCATGTGAATTCCTCATGTATAAACTACTTTCTATTTTACTTGAATCTTTTCAATTTCATTATCCATTTTTCAAAATATATACAGTAAAATATGTGAACAGCTGATTGCCATCTACCTTATTTACAGGACAATTAAAAGTGATAATCCCACTCTCTGCATATACAGTGATCGAAATAGTGTCCCATGGCATAGTTGATTATTTTCACAGTGCCCTGGTGGCATGCCTAAAATTATGTAAATAATACTCACCATGATTCATTTCATGGAAAATGCAATAAATGTGACCAATTCAAATCATTAAAATAAAACCAGTTTTTGCAGCTTATGAAACTATTTTTGGTACACTCAATCTCACAGTTTAACATTTGTGTCACCATTTTGAATTCCAGTGCCCATGACAGGAAATCCCAGTGATAACATAGTTTGTGGGTCCAGGACAAATGATTCAGCTGAACTATTCTTGCAGTCATTACAGTGTTCAGGAAATCCTGCTCTCAAGTTTACATGTTTACATGATATTTACTGATTTAGTGAACAATAAATTAAAATAACATAAATGTTGTGATGTTTCAAGTCATCAAAAGGGAAAGGCACACAATTTCACAAAGGCACATCTAAGCTGTCTTTCTTGTGCCTTATGGCACCCTTCAAAAAAATTGATTCATCCCAGAATATATAAACATGCCTTGCATAACAGGAAATACCACTGAAATTGTAAATTATCATGCCATGTGATTTTGTATGGCAAAACTCACATTCCTTTTATGTGTCTCTTGTTTTGTAATATGCTTATTTTGGTACTGTTCTTGGACAGGCAGTTGCAGCAACATTCTGACAATCCTGACTGACACATAGCCTGAAAATTTAGTTAACCATAAAAGAATAGACTACAAGTTGTATTGGTTTTTCAAAAAATCATTGCATGCCATTGCTTCAATTCAGAACACTTTGTTACACAGTGGTTCTGCTTTCCATGACTAGATCAACTATCCTGACCCTCTTTGTAGCCACACATTGTAACATGGGCATACTAAGCTAATTAGGACCATTTCTCTTTTATACATAGCCAATAGTCCTGGTAATTTATCATCAGCTGTCACAATGTAGTATGATCTAATAGAAGGGAATGAAAGCAGCATGTACTCTTGTAACTGCAAACATCACAATCTATGCTCAGGTCAAATCAAACTCTGAATTTAAATGAATAAACCTTATTTCTGGAATATTAAGAAGTCTTGGTTCAGCCAGCACAGGACTAGGAATTGTGTCGTGCAGGGGAATATCATATATTATAGCTAAAATGGATAAAATTATCATTAAAATGCCCGCACGTTATCAGAAATGAGCGGGCCACTGTAACTTGATAATGCCCCAAAATGCTTGATGACGAGCCATTATCGAGCCCGTTGTTCGGTGACGTCATAAGTAGCTCAGTTCTTGATGTTCGATTAACCTACAGCTCATTTGAACTTGGGTTCAAATTTGATGAAATTTCTGACTCACATTCGTTACATGTACCTGTGGCATGTACATGTACCTCGGGCTTTTCAACTGCACTCCTTCGTCGGGCAGTTAATGAAAGACCTCGGGCTTCTGCAAATGATAGTGCCCTGAAAACTAGCGTTACCCTAATAATATTAGGTGGGGAAGAGTGAGCGTCCTAAATCTGGAGGGCTTATGACACACCACCTCCACCATCTAGTCTGTACAATATCTGCCTGGAGAATGGAAGGTTGCTATTTCGAGCCTTGTCATACCAACAGGTGTTAAAGGATGGTACCTGTTGTTTTGGCATTTAAGGTGTGTCTGAATAGAACCCTTGGATATTTGAATGTACTTAATTAAACATCTCTCACCTACTTAAGGAAATTTGTGTAATATGCCTAATGAAAGTAAACCCTTTAGCTAATCAGTGGACTCTGGTGCCTTTGACTTCTACGATTCCCAGTATTGCCCCTTCCGTATATGGTGAACAGAAACACGAGGGATCATGAATATCTTTAAGGATATTTGTATGAAATATGTGTGCTTAGTCTTCACTCCAGAAAATTTTAAACTTTTTTCCTGTTCAGGATAAAAATCAGTTGTTCCTCACTATTGTGTTTGTCCAGCAAATATCACTCTATTTATTACACTGTCTCTGTTCTTTCTGCAGGTCTCCTGTATGATCACCTTGGTTCTTACAACATAGCATTCCACTGTGCAGGTGCCCCTCCAATCATTGGGGCTATCATCATGTTCCTCATTCCTCGCACAAAGCAGGTAAGTCCCTCGCCTTTAACTTTCAGTTGGCCAAAGTGAACTTATGTCATGTAAGTCCAGCATGCAGAGTCAGTGGGTCATCTGTAACCTGTAGTTGAAATTTCAGATCCAAAATTTTATTAAATTTTTTCATCCAAGAGTGTTTACATAATTTTAGCAAAATTGTTTGCAAAGTTGTTATTATTATTTACTACTGGATATTTATATAGCGCACATATCCACGCACTAGTGCAAGCTCAAGGCGCTGGTATTTTATCCCCCGATCATTTGATGTCAGTCTAACGGCACATCTTATTATCAATCTCAACTCCCTGGGGAGTCTACAACTCTTGCTGTCACAAAGCGCACCGAGTTATTGCGGCTTTCCCATCCTTACGAGGTACCCATTCACAGCTTGGTGGACTGGGACACATAGTCACAGTACTTTGTCCAAGTTTACTGCATGTTGCTGTACCAGCAACTAGGTGTTTGCATGTATTCATGTGGCCACCATCTGGTCATATACCAACGGATTCGTGGGTTCTTTTAAGTGCACAGGGTTGTGTACTGTACACTAGGGGTTGTGACAACACTGGAAGAGTCTGCACACAAAGTTGACTCCAAGATTTTTACATTCGGTCACAGGTGGGCTCGATCTGCACTTCATGCCCGCTGGATCACTAGCTGGCGCCTTAGCCAGCTCGCCCACCACGCCACGCAAAGTTATCACTGTTATTTACAGCAAACACTTTCAGGTTACATTTATTGACACCTTGAAACAAACTTGACAGAGAATTTATGTTATATATGCCATGACTTGACTCAGTCAAAGTCATATTTATTGTAGTTGATTACTGTCAACATAATGGTTCTGCTATCTTGACTCAGCAGTATTGACAGTGACTGATCCCATTGTTCCGTACACAAAATAAATCCGGCAAGACCGATCAGCTGCCCCAAAGCGCTAGAGTTTAACTTTGAAATACAATGTTTGTTCCTAATACAAAATAATATCCCATCAAAAAACACATTCCTGTTAAAAACCTTCTGTATATTATTCCTGCTAAAATACATGTATTAACCTCAGATACAATTTGTCCAATGTTTGCAAAATAATTCTTTAGAGGTATCTTATTGGGTACATTTTATTCAAATCATTTGGGTAAGTTAGCGAAACGATACATACAGTAATCTTTATCTCAGCATTTAAAACAATGTTTTTCATAACAGGAAATATCATTTAAAAGGTAAATTATTACATCACATGATGTTTTGTCTCATATTTCAAATTGTTATCATCTGTTTGTTTACCTGAATTTGGTGAAGGGATACAATGGATTTTTCCGAGCTTGATACTAAAAGTCTTATTTTCCAAAAGATATTGCATTATGTATATTGCAATTTATTAAAAAATATTACTGTAAATTACACAATTTTGTAATTGTTTGACAAAATATTGTGAATATGATATTTACAAGTAGACAACTTACATGCCTTATCCATAGAACTTGGTTTTCCTTCATTTTTACAACTTCTGAAAATGCCTCTCAAAGAAACTAATTACATGCCTTCTGTTCTGCATAATATCTTCCACTTATGTTCAGAATATCATTTGATTAGTTGAATAATAAGAACATGCCTGTGACACCATTTAGAAAATTGCTCATGACATGATGTCAAGCTTTGGGAGGCTAGGGCAGACTATGAAGGTCAGAGTACTATCATTTTCACTAACGCTCATTTATATTCTTTCAGACATACCCTGGTGTTACTGACACACAAGAATTTGCTGCATTGTCTCAACAAAACATATTTGCTGGACCAGATCATGGTAAATCTAACCACAGAATTTCTTCTGAACTGAAATTTTTTTATTTATTATTTTATTATTGAGCATATTTGAACATTGATAATTTCCAAGTAGGAAATTATCAAGAACAGTATTTTCCATTTTGTGTCAACCAGGTTTAGCTGTTTGATACTTAATTATATGGAAGTAGCACAAACTGCCTTTTCAAGGTTTGCATATTGGCCTGTATGCCTATTGGCCCAGAGCAGTTTCCATATCTCTACTGAAAGCAGTGTTTTTTTGTACAGTTGAAACAGTAAACTGTAATGATATGAATCACCTTCAACAAAGGAAAGCACAACCAGTTGCCTAATGTTTCCCTGCAGACTGGCAATCAACATTCACAATGAGATAAAACTGGAGGAATTGGTTCCCACAAGGCATGTGTAGTACCATGCGGGATCGAGGTGATACTGTTTCAAACACGTTGTTCTGAACGTCTCGAACACGTCATGTCAGGACAGGCAGCCCTGGTTGTAATCCCCAAGACATTGGGAATGCATTGTGTAAATCACTGATCCATTTTCTTTGGTAAATATAATTGCTACATGCTTTGCATATGGTTAATGTGGAATTATGTCTGTACAAGTGTACAAGTTGTACTTCGGTGATGGTTCCAGGACACTGGTAGAATTCTAATGTATGTATCAATCATGATCCTGTTTTCCTTTCAGATGATGAACTGAAGGTAAACGGAAAGGGACCGTCAGCCACCGAGATGATTGTTGTTGAGGGCCATGATCTATTGGAAGAATTTGCTGCCAGCTCAGATAAGCAGGCTTTGTACAAGGAGGAAGTGAAAGCAGAGTTATCTTCCTCAGATGATAAACCTGATAATGAGATTCGAGTATAAAACTTCTTGTTGTTTACAGATGAAAGTCATCATTACTATGCAAGTGACATAAAGAATCAAAATGTGAGACTGATCAAAACAAATGTTGAGCTTCGAGACTGAATGATATGTGTTCCACAGGGATGTATTTCTATTGAATGAACAATTTAAGTTGTCTACCATGGGGACTCAAGGCAAAATTTACTTCCTTGCTTATAATGTGTTAATGGCAAGCTGTATCTAAATACTGTAATCATTTCAAAAGTCTGTGCATGTCTTTGTGAAATGAAATATAGATGTGCAAGTTGAAATCAATAATGAAAAATGTGTGCACACATTTATTTGTTGTTAGTTTCTGTAGTTTTACAGTGTTGGTCTTCGTTGAACTGAATGAAGTACTAAGTTAAGGTGCATGTAACTCTGATACTGTTCAATCTCATTATTTTGAGATCTTTGCTCTGATATGATATCTGTCTGCATAGAGATCTGACAACCTCACTGTAGGATGCCATGTCAGGTGAACTTATTCAGCCAATCAGCCTTGGAGCTTCAAAATACTCTGTGTGAGTGCGCAAAGCATTCAGATTTTAGCATGTGTAATTTTGGTCTCCCTAAAATGAATAAAACTGGAGAGTTCTGATTGTATAGCTGCACTTTTATATTCTATCATGACATCTGACTGGCTCATGAACCCTTATTGCTCATAAAGTATGTGAGCAACAGAACCCTTATTGCTCATAAAGTATGTGAGCAACAGCGGTGTTCTCATATCTTCCTGCAGAAAGGTATCTCATCAGAGTACAAGATCTGATTTTAATGTTATTGGATACATAGTAATAGATACATAGAGTACTGCAAGGAGCCTGGATTACAGGACATTCAGATGAAGGCTTGTCAAGGAATTGTACTTGTGTGTGAAATATATACTGACAGTTGAATTTGTGCTGATGAGAGTGAATGTACACTTGCATGTGTAGTTGTTGTAAACATATGTAACATGTGAATCATTTACTAAGTGCTGTCATTCCTGCAGACATCAGAAGTCAGAGGGGCTGTGGGGTAGCCTAATGGTTAAAGCGTTGGCTCGTCACGCCGAAGACCCGGGTTCGAATCCCCACATGGGCACAATGTGTGAAGCCCATTTCTGGTGTCCCAGGCCGTGATGTTGCTGGAATATTGCTAAAAGCGGCGTAAAACCAAACTCAGTCAGTCAGTCAGTCAGATGGACATAGAATTTGTTATGATGATTATATATTTTGATAGCCATTTGTATATACATTCTCAGCTGTGCAGTAAACTGTATCTCTATTCCATTATGATAATTACCCAGGATGCATCTGATAAAGTGACATAGTTTTCAGCCTTTTTTTGAAGGGTACAATGTTTAACAAAGCAGTTCAGTCAGTGAAACTAATAGAGAGAGAAATTCGGTTAAAATGTTTGTGATACAAGAAATGGAGGTTTCACTTCTGAAACAAGTTTTTTTGTGGAAAATAGGTCAGAGGTATATGATTTAATACTTGATAGAATGGACATACTTCTCATTTGGTTATTGAGGATGATGCGTACCATACAGGACCCGTTTGGAACTTTTCTACCATCCACTTTGCTATTCCTTGAATGTACATTATCTGTACATGTCTCCAATTTTGAACATGCAATTCAGACAAGAGCTGTATTTTAAGTCATTTTGGAAACAGCTTTTAGAACAGTCAAATTGAATACTTTGTAATATTTCAACAAGTTGTAACTTTTGTTGTTATGATCTCAAAGAAATCAACCTGGATAACTTAATAAATCTGTTGAAATCCAGTTTCATGAAAAAATAACATGAACTTGTAAAGCGGCCTTCACAGGGCAAACTAAAGTTTGACAACACATGTTGTTAACATTTCAAAAGTTGTCAAACTCGCATTTTCACACGTCAAAGTTGAAGTACATATTCTCAAACTTTCATGTCATTTGAGCACCAATGATGTCTCTATTCACATTACACTTTAGACAACACCAAAAGTTTGATGGAAAAGTTGGTGAGAATGGAGACCAATCCTATTTCTCCACAACAGTATGACAACTCTGAAATTGGTGTTGGTGGTGAGTTGTTGGAATGTTCACACTCTCAAACTTGAGTTTGACAACATGTGTTGTCAAACTTTGGTTTGTCGTGTGAAGGCCGCTTAAGAGAGCCCACACCATTGGGCTACTGCAGCACTAAAAGCTATTCCTGGTAGCATAGCTTGATAGCTTGATTGAAATATCACAAAAACTACTTTAAGAATGTCTGCCCTGAAATAATGAACATCATTTAAATTATAGAATTGCAACACAATTAGGTAACACAGGACTCATTATGTATTTGTTTTCACTGGTGTTTTTATTTCAACCACCTGCAATATGTCTTTGACAATATATTGCACACCAGATTATTTTAAAAATGGATGAGTGCACAATTATCTTGTCACTGAAATCATATCGTTTCCATGTGCTGTTTAATCCACAGTGTGTATTTCTATTAAAAAAATGCATAAGGGTCTCAGAACAGTATAGTTCAGTCTGCAGGACATTTGTTTGGTGATGAATTAAGGATCCATGTACATTGCCAGTATTTCATTGATATGTTGTATCATGTTGGATGTCCGACATCAACCCTCACATACATTTAGGATTTCATATTACACTTATGTTAACAACTGATGAAGACTAGTTGTGAAAAACATATGTACTACTCAAGAAAAATTCTACAAAATTAAATTCACTTCTTGGCACAAATGTTTAGTGCTGACAGCCAATTGTTTTCTATTCTTTAGCCAAACTTGATAGTATATTTTTGCTTGAAAATTACACGATTTGAATAAATAATCATTCAGATGTCACGCCTTACTCTTTCTATGAAATATTTATTTTAATCAAAATCAAGTAAAAATTTAACATGTTTGAACAAGTTCATGTCTATTGATGATGTTGTATGGCAATAAAGTTTTAACATGCATTCAACTGGTGAAACCACTTAGCAATTAACTGATCCATATCACCATCATGTTATCAGCTCCAAAAATAACACACAGAGTACTTGAAGCTGACTGGTAGTATATTGATTAGCTATGTGCTGCTGAGTAATATATGTGCATAAGTAATTACCCTGGTTTATTCCTTTTGTTTATATTGTAAATTAGGGCTGCGCAATGTAACCGGTTTACCGGTATTTACCGGTTCACACATGAAAACGATACGTATTGCGATACGCTGATCGAAAACCAGTATTTTGACATGCATTTGGAAAACTTGGTAACACTCTGAAATCTTGATGATTGTGAAAATTGTGGTAAGGTTGGTGGGAATGATAGTGGTGAAAATTAGTATTAACTGGATTGTGAAGTCCTTTTCCTTGTTTCATTTCTGCCAAATATTATTTACATTTTTACTTTGTTATGATTAAAAGTTTTTATTAAGATTAATCAAGGATAGTGATTTTGTTGTGGTTTTGCTTTATAATTCAAGCATTAACTCGATTATAAGTATTTTTTTGTTAAAAAAACATCTTGTAATATATTGCAATACATATCGCAATATAAGCTTTCGCATCGCAATATATCGCAATATGAAAATTCTCTGCAATACCCACCCCCTACAATTTATGCAATATAATAACAATGCCAGTTTTGTACTTGGATCACAGTAAGGACTATATTCATTAATGCATTTACCTTGACTTAATGAATGTATAAAATATTGAGGCATTTGCATTCTTGTCAACCAGTTTTGAAAGTGACATCTATTTTGGTATTTGAATCAACTTCATTATTTTAACAGATGTAATATTATTGTATATAAACTATTAGAATACTCCTTAGGCCAGACCAATTTTATTTCTTGTTTTACGGATTCCGCCGGTCATATTATTTCAACAATAAGAAAAAAATTTAAAATAATTTTTTTCCCACTCGAAAAATAAAATTCTAATGTTAAGATATACGGGAGCGAGACTTTGACTACGCAAAGCAGTTTGTTGGACACTAAAACACCTGTATCTGTTCTCAGAGACTTTAAACTGAATTAAGTGACAATATTGTGTTAGAAATCAGTGCTTCGCTGTGGGTTTTTGATTTGACTGGTTTTTGCTTTTTCTCCCCCTCATCCCTTTAGGTTTTCTGAGGACAAAAATCCATAAAACAAGAAATGAATTTGGTCTAGCCTAAGTTTGGAATGAAATATATATTTGAAAAATCATCTGTTAACTCGTGGAGTGCATGGATGGCTCAGTCCACACCAGAAACCTGTAGTTGTGGGTTTGAGTTCTTGTTCGGCCCAATTGTGTCTGTATGTTTGTCACTACTGTTCCCCAGGGACTGGGTCATGAGAGTGTAAACAGTTAGGGCCTGCATCACTCCAGGCTTCCTCCCATTTCAAGCTGGCATTTTATTGTATGGACTGAAATGATGTTCTCATTGTGGCATTAATGAAAGCATTAATTGAAGCATGCAACTTTATGTATGACAACTTCTTGTTTATTGCATAGAGCGACGTATCAATGTAGATTACATCATTATTGAGCTAAATGTGTCTACACAAAGTCGCCTGTGGTTTCACTACATGATACCCTGTAACCAACTGGAATTCATCACTTTGGGCATGAAATGGCATTGTCGTGAGACAAACATGGCAGAAGAGCAACACGCATCTGTTTTGACTGCAACATACTGCCAAATGATACATGCTGAGAAACAGTTGTACATATGGTAATGAAACTAAAGGAAGTTGGTCATTCCCCTGTCCAGAGGCAGCCATTATCCAAGGGCACCTACCTCAGACAATATTGTGGCCGCTGTAGCACAGACACAGTGTTTTGAAAATGGTTAAGATAAGTCTCCGGTCATGAGAGATGGTTTATATCATGGTGCAATGTTACTTTCCAGGTATTTATATTTGATTATTATTTTAAGAAATGTATTTCCCTGTAAACTGAAGTGGAGGTGCCATCTTTTTGACAGTAATGAAAGAACTATGTTACCTGAACAGCATGATAACATTATTCCAATATGATGTGTCTTAGCGTCAACAAAGTGTCTTAGATTCATGCTCATTCATACTGTTGTTGTTGGCTATTTTCATCATGCATCTTTCAGCTGTCTAGTACTGTGGTTAGGTTGAGTCCGGGATTCTAACCCACACTCTCAGTCTCAGGCACCTAATTGCCAGCACACAAAATCAGCCGTCTAACCCACTCAGCCACCACGGCTGACTATCCGTGAAAGATACATCTGTGTCATGTTCTCTAAGGTAACAACATGGTTTCTAGGTTGTGTACCCATGCGTTGCCTTCTCAAATAGTTGCTGTTCAATGATACATGTCCAATAATTTTACTATTTTAGAATGGAAATATAACAGACTGTAGTAACAATGGTTGGGAATAGACATGTTTCATATATCGTGAATGACACCAGTGAATAATGTTATATATCATCAGGCTATAATTATGTTTACACTGTGATATATACCTGATGTATGATCATAATATGATCCAATATTCCATCATCACCACCACAGGACCAACTAAAACTTGTAGCATACTAGTATCAGCCAGTTGAAAACAATTTACATTGTAGCAAAACTTACACTTGTACATTTCATTCTCATACCTTTTACCATATGTATATTTATGTATAGCTTACAATAATGTGTAGTGT